TGTGATTACATGGTGTACATTTTGTCCATGTGCTTTTAGTTTTTTGATGGCTATTCAGTTGTAATTTTTGTCTAATTAAGTGGGAGACAGCAACAGTCCCCATAAGACACTACTACATCCACACATCCTGCAACTTCAATTACTGACCGAGAGCCACCACCTCCTTCTCCATCAATGGGTCAACGATAAAAAACCACCAAGAAGAGCCTGAATCACCACTGGCTGCTCTTCACAAACAGTTAACAGAGATCTTAATACAACAATGCCACGATGTCTCAGAGATAAAAGACCATCACAGTCAACACAAAGAAGCAAGATAAAGTGGTATAAACAAGGGAACAGACTACAGACCCAGCACACATCCCTGAGGAAGAAGCAGCATTGGAACTCTCTGATAAGGAATTCAAAAGAATGATATTTAGGTATCTTCAGAGGATTGAAAGACAGAACAAAGAAAACACAGAAAAAACCCTAGAAGAATTTTGGAAGAAAATACAAGAACAAAATGACAAAATAAACAAAAATTAGAAATGATTCTAAATCTACACACAGAAATCCAGAAGATTAATGCTAAATTGTCAGAAATAGATAACACATTGGAAGGACAAAGGAGTAGAACTGATGCAATGGAAGACAGAATTAATGAGTCTAAAGACAAATACATGAATACTTCTTTGGAAAAGGATCAATCAGAAAAAAAATCAAAACAAAATGAAGAAAGCCTGTTTCATGTGGGATACCATCAAAAGGAATAACTTACGTGTCATTGGAATTCCAGAACAGGAAGAGAAAAATCATAGCACTGAGAATATTGTCCAAGATCTGTTGGGGGAAAACTTCCCTGACATGATGAAAGATGACAATATATTCATTCAGGAAGTCCAATGATCCACAAACAGGATAGACCCCAAAAGAAAATCACCAAGACATATCATCATCAAACTCACCAAAACCAAAGACAAAGACAGAATCCTGAAAGCAACACAGGAAAAATAAAAAGTTACTTACAAAGGACAGCCACTAAGAATAAGCTCGGATTTCTCAGCAGAAACCATGCAAGCCAGAAAGGCAATGGGATACTATATATAAAACCATGAAAAAGAAAAATTTTCAACCAAAAAATTATATACCCGGCAAAATTGTCCCTCAAATATGATGGTGAAATTAGGAGATTTTCAGATAAGCAGAAACTAAGGGAATTTGTTAAAACCAGATCAACCTTACAAGA